CTGGGCCTAGGGTTTAAGGCGGCAGCACAGGGCTTTAAGCCCAAAAGGTGGCCCTCGGGCCAGTATTTCATTGTTTTTGTTCAGACATTCCTCTAGGTCGTATAGCCCTGGTATACAAGTTGCCGTACTGTGTTCACTTTTGGTTGCTGTGAGGCTGAACACCGTGACACTGATGTGTCAAATGTGTTAATGATTGGCTACCCAATGTGGACAGAGAGTGGGGTGGAGCTCCCCAATTAAAACAAGCTTGAAAGGAGGAATGGCATCCACTTCCGTAATAGCCTCTGGAAACCCTATGAACCTGGATAGAGGATGAAAGGCACTTAAGCGTTGAGGACTCTCCTTCATAGGGTCACTATGAGTCGTCTGTGACTCGAAAGCACTTAACAATAAGAAAAGTCCCTTTTATAAGTAGTGTTTAAGAATACTGGTTAAAGCAGCAATGAAGGAATGAAAACCCAAGATCCCTGTAAATGTTCATTAAAACTAATAAAATTTAATAATAATAATAAAAATAAAAATAAATTAAAAAAAAGAATACTGGTTAAAATACAATGCACTGTGTATGCCTGAAGGACTCTCCTACTCACTAATACAATTTCTATTCTTCCTTTAGTATACAGTTTAAGTCCCATTTCATGTTGATGTCCTAAGTGTAACCAAGGTGCACCTTAGATGCAAGGATGGAAAAATTCTATCTCACATACTTTGAGCATGCTGTCAGGAGGGGCTAGTCCTTGGGAAAAAAACCCCCATCACATTGAGAATATGGGGGGGGGTCAGAGAAAGAGAGGAAGACCTTCAACAAGATGGACTGACATAATGGCTTTAACCACGGACTGAAACACATTGGAGATCATGCAGATGGCACAGTAATGGGCAAGATTCAGATCTGTTCATGGGGTTGCTAAGAGTTTTCGTTAACTTGAGGGTATCTAACAACTGTGATATATCTACCACAACAGAGTGCTTTTACCTCTGTATTTTCTTTCTGCATCACTCACTTAGGAATTAAAATTTGCAATCTTGAATAGTTTGCCAATAATTTATTCTATAAAATACTCTTACATATAAATGTATTCTGCAAAGTCTCCCAATAGCCATTTTTCAAGCAGATCTCTAGTGTTAGTTGTTGATTTATGATGCTGATGGATAAGGCTGTTTCCTACTTTAGCAGCTACTTCTCTTGTGTCTTGTCAGTCCCAAAGAGGCAGGAAGGAAAACTTCCAGTTGTGAATAGCTTGTTAGCTTTGGCCATCAGTCACAGGGGAAGACAAGTGTGAGTCAGGCCAGGGAAAAGCTTGAGCTTGTACAACATATTGAATCAGAAAGCTCACACCAATATGCCCACCTAATCTGGCATTCATAGCGCACTTTCCTCAACTGCTGGGTAGGTAGGGACAATGGCTGTGGCTGCTGAACAGCTCCCCAGGGCAGCCTGGCCACCCTGAAGAGCCAGGAAGGGGAAAAAGAAAGGGTTTTCTTCAGTATGCAAGCAATCGTGAATGTTAAGGGAAAAACAGGCTTGTTATATTCATTGTAAATTTCTTCAATTAGAAATGTTACAACAAATGTGTCTGAGGTTAATCAAAAGCATACTTATACACATATTCATAAAGTGAACAAGGTTCAAAGGCCTTTTAAAGAGTGTTCTTTGACATCATAATTTGGGTTTATAACATAAAGAAAACACATACTGTTTAACCAACTGAGCAGGCTTTAAGGAGTTTTCAAGCATTTTGACTGATAATGATGTATGCCTGTTTCCCAGAAAAAAAAGAGAATTTTTAATGGGCATAAACATTTTAATTCCTATTTGGATTCCAACCTAGTTTGGTTCCTCAAGGGACATACATAAAAGGATGTCAAGCTGGCTTTTGTAATAAGATGTTAACAGGTGTATTTCTCTAAACCCTTTGTAAGTACTCTACAGTAGAGATACTTAAACCTGGGTTCAAAGGGTTCACATATCTCTCAGATCTATATAATGGTGTTAAATGGTCTTTGAACACTCTGGAATTATTTACCAAATATGTTTATGGAAAAAAGTCTTATAATTTTCATTAGATTCTCAAAAGGGCCTCTTAATGTTGAAAAGTTTACAAATATTTATTAGAGACAGATTGAACTTCAATTTCCACCTACAGAAATTAACAGGGCTCAGCTAGCGGCGTAAGGTAGAACAAGAACTTGCTCCACCAACTCAGGGGCAAGTCTATCAAATCCACCAGCTGCTCCTCAGGAGAGAGATGGACAATCTCCTCCCATGCTATTTACAGCCTCTGAAAACACACTGGATGGTGAGCTACCAGTCGGTTCTGAGTCAATGATACATAACAACAATGATATAAAATGAGGCCTAGATAGTCAGGTTATACATTTCACCTAATTAGCTCAACAACTTGCTTTACAATGACGAATGCAGATGCTCATTTAACCTTCTTGTAGCATTGTCTATCGCTATTAGACTGAATTATATGAAGTCACTATTTTTGCTAGTAAAAATAGTCAAACATTAGCAAATTTACATTTTCATACTATATTAAATTTATAGAATTTATAATATTACATTAAATTTCTTTTTATATTTTATAACATAATATAAAATGAGTATTGCCAAATATGAATGAGTATTATATATGAGTATTATATATGAGCATTATATATGAGTATATGAGTAGTATAAAATATTAAGAGTATTGAATGTATCATGGACTGCCAAGAAAACAAACAGATTCATCCTAGAGAGGGTTAAACCAGGCTGCTCCTTGGAGGCAAGGATTCTGGGGCTTCGCCTGACATACTTTGGACATGTTGTAAGGAGAGACAGGTCTTTGGAGAGGGACATCATGCTGGGCAATGTGGAGGGACAGCGCAGGAGGGGAAGACCCTCTATGAGGTGGATTGATTCAGTGACTGGGGTAATCGGGATGGGTGTGTCAGAAGCAATGAGATTGACACAGGATAGAGCAGGGTTTAGGGCTGTTGTACATAGGGTCGCTATGAGTCACAAACGACTCGACGGCATATAACAACAACAACAATATAAAATATATTACAGTTCTAAGTTATTAGCGGCATGTTGATTACAGACGGTATTTTTAAATGCTGAAAGTTGTGCACAGTTACTACAAGAACACCAAATATAAAAACTAACTGTCTGCTATAGGGCTAAATTTAACTCACAGTGACACTATTCGGGCAGAGGAGAACTGCCTCAAAGGTTTGCACGGCCGTAATTCTTAGGAGATCAGCCTGCCATGTCTTTCTCACTTTTAGCAGCTGGTGGGTTTGAACTGCTGACTTATTGGTTAGTAGGTAAGCACTTAACTGCTGCTCCACCAAGCTTGATGTTGGAATGAAAATATTATAGTTTCTGTAGATGGTATTTCAGAAGCTTAAACTAGATCATCATTTTGGAGGCTCATATGTGAAGCCATTGGATTCTGAAGGTGGATTCTTCTTGTTTTGGTTGAAGGTTGGGTGTGGACAGTTTGGTTGTTTTTATTTTGCTCACAACCATGTGTGAGCTGGCTGGATTAGGCTAACAATGAGCTGTTGGCTGGAAGCCATTCAGGGCCTAGGGCATGGGCCTAGGTATTGAAAAGTCAGTTGGTTTTAATTGTGTTTAGAATGAAGATTCTTCTAAGTGGCACAGCACTGGTCTAGCAATTCACTCTACTGAGATAACTTGGGGCTGCTGTAATAATGAACACTGTGCCAATAGTGTATCAAATGCCATAATGGTGACCCAGGGTTGGATGCCTCTGGAAACTCTATGAACTTAGAGAAATGACAACAGTTATAGGACAAGATTCAGGTTTTTTGTTTATAGGTTCACTATGAGTCATGCTCGACTGGACGGCACTTAACAACAAAACAACAACAAAGGCAATAATCTAAAAATCGGGGACAAGTGGAAATACGTGTTTGTAAAGCACATTTAACAATGGTTTGGCAATTGAAATTTAAAATGATCAATAAACTCAAGAATTATAACTATGTGAATAATAATGACTTCCTTATATTTTAAGGCACAAAGAAATTAATTGTTTCCTTACATTATTCAATTACTAACCAGTTGTTATTTCCAATGGAAATGAGAAGTGCTGTACAACTAATCATTGAAGGATAAGAAAAGCTGTAAAGTAAAGGTGGAAAATAAGCATTACATTAAATGCATTTTAAGGACTACGGTATTCTAGGCATTCAACTGATGTATCCTGAACTTTGAATGTATTACAATTATGTCTTAAGGCCATACATTCTAAAATAATATTTTTTAATATATTTATGATACATAGAAAAGAGATTGAGGTTAATAATTACAGCTTGCTCAGCTCCATAATCAACACTCTTGGCACCAGCAGTCAGGAAATCAAAAGAGGAACTGCACTGGGAAAATCTGCTGTCAGGGACCTCACCAGAGTCCTGAGAAGTAACATTGTCAGTCTAGTGACTAAAGGTCTCACTTGATCCAGGCTATGGTCTTCACAATTACTTGCTGTGCATCAGGGAGCTGGACAATGACTATGGATGACAGAAGAAGAATTGATGTGGCTTTAAATTTTGGTGCTGGAGAAGAGTATTGAACATACCATGGACTGCCAAGAAAACAAATAGGTCTGCTTTAGAGAGGGTAAAACCAAGTTTCTGCTTGGATGCTGGGATTTTTAAGCTCTATCTCTCATACCTTGGGCATATGGCCAGGAGGAACTGGTCCTTGTAGAAGGACACCATGACTGGAAGGGTGAAGGGACAGTGTACGAGAGGAAGACCTCAGATGAGATGAATTGACACAGTGACTGCAGCAATGGTGGTTAAGTGTGTTGGAGTCAGTGAGATTGGCTCAGACAGGGCAGGATTTGGATCTGTTGTACTTAGGGTTGCTACAAGTCACAGGTGACTTGACGGCACATAATAACAACAATATCCAGGAAAATATCAGACATTTGAAAAATCCAGAGATGTGCCATAGAAGACATTTTATTGAGACTTACCTCCACAGAATTGTGATACTGAATGAAGGTTGCAGAAATGGCATGGCTGAAGGGGTCCCCTGCCTTGGTTACCATGTCTTGCCTTACAAGAAGAGCCAGGTCCACTAACTACAATATCAGAGAAAGATAACAATTTAAAAAAAGAAATAAAATAATAAACAAATAATTTTGAAATAATAAAAAAAAAAGCTGGGAATAATCATGTCAGGCTATCCTTGACATGTCAAAACTAAAAGGAACACAATCCAAATGGTATTGATAAGGTTCCCAGCCTCTTCAGGACATAATACTAATGAGATACAGTCTGCTGGGCTTCTCAAGGTTCTTTTATAGTGACTACAGAATAATTTAAAAAACCCCAAAACCCCCAAAAACAGGTTTCTGGGCTTTTGTTGACCTAGAGATTGTAATTCAGGAGGTGCGCTCTGAGGTCTAGCTGTGGAGTTTGTATTTTGAACAAAAGCCAAGGAGATGGTGATGTCTGTGGTCTCAGGACTGAGCAAAATCTGTCCCTGAGCAGTGGTTTGAGATGAGATTTTTGTAAGCACTGGGATGATTTCATATCCCTAGGAAAGTATTTTCCAAGGTTAAAAATAATTTCTAAATAAGGCAAATGGGGACCTTAAGTTCAATATTAAGAAGTATGTTGGGTCTTCTGATTCTGATTAGAACAGAGTTGCAACAGGCACTTTTACCCCAACATCCACCAAAGGTCACAATGCGAAGGGAGGTAACTGAACTAGATCCCAGAAAATTGTAAGACTGTAACAGGCAAGAACTCAGGGCTGTTCTCATCCCTGGTACAGTACTAGGTAGAGTAAGAATGGTCTCTACAGAAGACTCCCTATCTATACAGGGATGAGGAACCAATAAAAACTTTCAATGTCCAAGTATGGCAGAATTCTTACCTGTGCCACGGTTTCATATGCTATATAGGATAAAATTTCCATAGCTATGACATTAGGTTTTATCTCCATACTGCTGCAGTCCAGCCAGTCTCGGAATTTTGAGGCCTTTTTGGCTAGTCATGAAAAACAGAAATGTAGAAAATTCCGTTTTAAAAAAGTGTCCTAAGCAGGAGTGGCATCCACTTCATAAAAACATGCCTCTGGAAACTATGAACTTTGATAAATGACGATAGTTATAGAAAAGTCTCAGCCCTTTAGTACATAGGGTCGCTGTGAGTTGTGTTTGACTTGACAGCAATCAACAATAACAATACAGATTAACGTAATCACAAATCAAGAAATAAAATGTTTTCTGAAAGGTACATGTGAAAAAGAATGCTATTGCCAGATGCTTTGCTGGAGAAGGAGGGACAATCTCCTCTTGTACCAGTGAGATCTGATTTGACAGTACACACTCACAAAATAATAGAATAAAATAAAAGAAAAAGAATGCTACAAAATGCACTGCTCTCAAAGTTGTATTCAACTCTTAATGCTTTAATCCTAAGAACTTCAAATTTTAACTTTCATTTGGAAACTACTTCAAAGACTGCTTTTAAGAACTCCCTTATGCATTTGGGTCCTCCATTTGTTCTCTACGCTATATAATATACTTATTTTCTATTTACGTTATGGAATACTATGTACAATACTACTTCATACTTAGCGCTGTCTGCTTATAGAATATACTCCAATTGGCTACAACTTTAACAATAGCCAGACGGGTTACTGTCCTTAAACCATTTTTATTCTTGTGGAAAGAAAATACTGTAAGAAAGAACTTGAGATGACAGAAGGAACACACAGATATTGCATTTCAAGGAACTCTTAGAAGGAATCTATTGCTAGAATAGATTCAAAGTGATCATTTAGAATTAAATGAAATAAGACTAGATTCGATCTAAGCGTGTAGTTAAATTTTCTGAGATACAAACTCCAATTCTTAAGTGTGACTCAAAATTATCCAAATGGATTTCATCTTGCCCTCAAAGACAAACTGTTCATTAACAAAACCAAACCCAAACCCATTACAGTTGAACTGATTCTGAGTCATAGTGGTCCTATAGAACTGCCCTACAGCATTCCCATGGCTGTGATCTTTACACAAGCAGGAGCAGCTGCTGGGTTCCAACCAATGACTTCTTGAGAAGTAGTCAAGTGCTCATTTTTTCACTGGGGCTCTTAAACCATGCATTACTCACCTATTAAACTGTCAGGTGACTGTGAGTACTCACCTTGAGGAATGTTCACCTTCCTTAACTCTTTTTTTAAAAAATAATTTTAATGAACATTTACAGAGATTTTGGATTTCCATTCGTTCATTGTTGAACTTTTCTCCTAGCCCACCCGTCCCCCACCAGTACGCTCCTCTCTTTGAAAAGTAAAAGAAAAATTCCTTCATTGGTATACAATCCCCCTGCCCCGAGTACATTCCACTATGCAACCTTAATTCCAGACTCTTGTGATAGCCATAATACCCTAATATATATCGCTTTTAAACTGTTCTCTCCCTCATCTGTTTCAGTGCAGTATACATAATTTATTCAGTTTTTCCTCAGTCTTACTCCAATCCTGATGTCAGTCCCAATCTACAACAGTGGCACTATGCAGTATTTGTCCTTTTTTGACTGAGATACTTCACTCAGCATAATGTCCTTCAGGGTCACACACTAACTCTTATCCATTCATGAGTCATGACCAGACAAGCCAAAGGAAGACATCTTTACTTGTAACATTTATTTAACATTTATATCAACAACAACAAAATATCATCAAGCATCTTTTAATTTCAATTTCTCCGATCATGTTATAGTTTTTTATGAGGAAAAACCCATGTCCACGTCTATATGCAAACCTAACAACCACCAGCACACGTGGAATAAAGTGGCTATGGATCTTTCAGTTAAGGATCTTTCAACTGTCACAGTGCTAAGCAGAACCTTATTTGACAAAGTTTTTATTGTATATTACACATTTAACTAGTAACCTAAAACAGAAAGATAAATAGTGAAGACTGTATTAAATCTGTAAAATAACAATCTTTAGTAAAAAAAATAATTCAATAATTATTCTTTTGATTAATCTGGTTTCACAGGTCTATAAAACACTGAAAGGTAACATAAAATAAACCATAATGTTTTGATTCTTACAGATACAGTCTTCATGGATTCCACATACAAAGATTGTTCTTCAAAATAAATCATTGAAGACATTAAGTCCTGCTATTGAAGCACATATCCAAAGTTGTCAGACGTGGCAGAATTATGATAATCCCCCTTAAAGCTATCTCCCTAAATAACTAATCTTCCAACTAGACTCTGACATACAACATTCCATCTAACGAGCAAGCTGCAATAGCTCACAAACACTTGTTCCACATCTGGGGAATACTTCTGAAGTTCAAGTTAACAGGCAGCAATTTGGCAAGATCAATAAAATGCACCTTACTCACATCTCCTTCTGACAGACTGTGAGGAACACAGAAACATATTTTGTGACTGTGCTCTAAACTCGCTCAATGATTTACCTCTGTCCGCTGCAGCTAAGTTCACCACAGCCAAAAGGTGGAAACAACCCAAGTGCCCATCAACAGATGAATGGCTCAACAAAATGTGGTATGTATGAACAATGAAAAATTATTCATCCATAAAAAGCACCGAAGTTCTGATGCATGCTACAATACGGATAAACCTTGAAAGCATTACGCTAACTGAAACAAGACAGACACAAAAGGACAAATATTGTATGTTCTCATTTATAAAATATTTAGAAAAGGCAAATGCACAGAGACAAATATTTATTAGTTATTGCCCAGTGCTGGGGTAAGGTGATTGGGCTGAAGAAAATCTTTTGGAAATAGATTGTGATGACAGGTGCATACATGGTAAATATAATTAATGTCACTGAATTGTATACATTAAAATGGTTAAAATTTTAAGTTTTTATAAAATTTCTTGTTACCTATTCTTGCACTCACTCAGTATGGTCGGGTTAGACATGACTCATAACTGACCCAGAGTGACTTTTCAGAGACTGCAAATCTCACAGGAGGCCAAGTACCTGTCTTCTTCCTATGGAGAAGCTGGTGGAATTAAAACATCTGCCTTTAGGTTGGCAGCACAACTCCTTACCACTAGGCCACTAGAATAAAAAATATATTTTTACTTTAATGAAATAATAAAGAAACAACTGAGGGAAACTGTTGCTATTAGTATTCAGATTTACCTAAGCAAGAGAATTAGTAGTAACTTCACTAAACAGACCCTAAGTGCTAGCAGATAAAGATTATCTTGCTTCTTCTATATCCCCAGCATCTAGAATAGTGCTTGACATTACAAGACTCCAAAGAAATAGATATTTCAAGGGGGAAAAAAATGAATGAATGAGAAATATTTATTAGAAAAGCAGAGTTTAAGCTTTGCTTGGCTCCACAGTCAACACTCTGGGCACCAGTAGCCAGGAAATTAAAAGATGTATTGCCATGGGAAAGTCTGCTGTTAGGGACCTCTCCAAAGTACTAAAGAGCAACGATGTCAGTCTGAAGATTAAGGTGTGCCTGATACAGGCCATGGTCTTTGCAATCACTTGTTATGCATCAGAGAGTTGTACAATGACTAGGGAGGATAGAAGGAGAATTGATGCCTTTGAGCTGTGGTGCTGGAGAAGAGTATTGAATGTATCATGGACTACTAGGAAAACAAAGAGATTTATCCTGGAGAGGGTTAAACCGGGCTGCTCTTTGGAGGCAAGGATTCTGAGGCTTCGTCTAACATACTTTGGACATGTTGTAAGGAGGGACCGGTCCTTGGAGAGGGACATCATGCTTTGTAGGGTGGAAGGACAGTGCAGGAGGGAAAGGCCCTCTGTGAGGTGGATTGATTTAATACCTGGGGTAATTGGGATGGGTGTATTAGAGATAGTGTGATTGGCATAGGACAGAGCAGAGTTTAGGGCTGTTGTACATAGGGTCGCTATGAGTTGCAAGTGACCTGATGGTACATAACAACAACAACAACAAACATGCATTATAATTAGTACAGTGTAGTATAAAATAGTACAGTATAGTGTTGTATAGTATAATATAACAGTATAAAATAGTATAGTATTTTACAGTGCAGTATAGTATAGTATAATACAGTGCAGTATAGCATAGCATAGCATAGCATAGCATAGCATAGCATAGCATAGCATAGCATAGCATAGCATAGCATAGCATAGCATAACACAGTGCAGTGCAGTGCAGTGCAGTGCAGTGCAGTGCAGTGCAGTATAGTATAGAGGCCCCAAGTGAGCCACCAGGGTTGCTGCTGTTCCAGGCACAGGTAAAGTTAATCTGTCGCTGGGTCTGATGCTCTTCTCATGAGACTAGCTCTTCCAGGACATTGTTGGTTCCAGTGAAAGAGGCTCAAATACTCTTACTCCTGGCATTGCCTTTCTATGAATAGAGAGTGCTTTAGAATAAACTCATTTCTTCTCTTCCCAATATTTCAGAAGAAATGGCAATCTAGAAATTCACAAGCAATTTAAATAGCATCTTGACTAAAGGCCAGAACTTTTATCAACTTTTTGACACTGCCCGAGTGTTCAAGTTGTGTGGAATTAAAATAACTTTACACAAAATTTAATGTGGAATTTAAAATTTTTAAAGTTTAGTTAATGCTTATGTACTTTTCACCATTTTTATTAATAAGCAAAATCAAAATTCAAGTTCTTCCCACTATCCATTCTTTCATCTCTGCACACCAGTTAATGATTACAACCCGACTCCTTTTCATCAGTCTTACAGACTAAATGTTTCTCTCCCTTAGTGCCCTTTGTGATATCTATTAGGAAGAAATTCTTCTCTTTAAATTTCTTCAAAAACACTGTTCTTTGCTTTAACTGAAAACAGCATTCCTCTGTGATTGAAGATGGTTATTCCTTCTACTGGAGAGGTCCCTTCCTTCTTGACATGTTTACCAGCAGCTTCTGTTGCCAATCTGTCCCCTCATTTCTCATACTCCATTTACCAAATGCCTGGAAGTAATAGTCTTGTCTCATTTTCTCCATCAGGAGAGCACCAAACAAAAAAATCAAATTATATTAACAGAATGCTAATAGACAATACTTCTATAAATAGCTTTTTATTAATAAATATCAATCTATACTCTCCTACCTAGCTATAACAGTATTCAGCTAGAGGTAAAATATGAGAGTTTTAAACTTTTAAAGACCTTAAGAAGGATAAAATTAAATAAACCTGGGAAGGAAAGCTTAGATATTTATTAATTTAACAATTTTTAGGCCAAAGATAAATATTAAAATTGAAACTAATAGCTAAAATAACAGACTATATTCAAGCTGGTAAAGGAAAAAAATGTAATAAAATAGTACAGAGAAAAGGAAAAAGCAAATGGGAAAAAAAACTTCAATGAATTTAAAAAGCAAACAAAAGAGTATATATAAGATCCAATTTGTCATTAACCAAAATATAAACTGACTAACTTCATCAATGAATACACACAGAGATTCTTAGATTAATGAACACGTTGCCACAAATGACGGGGGGAAAAAGTGTTTCTAAGCACGGTTGTCAATTAAAAGTGTGAGGCAACATGTTAAAAAGAAAACAGAGGTATCAGTTTTTTACAAAAGCCACAAAAAGTACAAAAGGAAAAAGCAAAGGATGGGATAAGTTTACAGCCAAATTCTAACGAAACAAGAGCTGGTAAATCAACATTAACATGAAGTTAAATAAGACTTCAAGGGAAATGGCGATCTGACATACACACACATACATACATACATATATACATACACACATGGAGCACTAGTGAGTGGTAAGAAGCTGTGCAGAAATCCCAAAGGCATGCAGTTCAAATCCACCAGCTGCTTCATGGGAGAAAGATGGACAATCTCCCATGCAGTCTACTGCCTGTGAAAATCCACTGGAAAGTCACCTATGGGTTGATTCTGACTTGATGGCACACAATAAGAAACACACACACATGAAAGTACATATTCATATATGTGCGTGTTGTTCATAGGGTCATTATGAATTATAGTTGACTCAACAGCACCCAAACAGCAACATACATATGTGTGCACCTCTGTGTGTACACATACACATAAATACACAAAAGAAAAGGATGGTGAGTCTGATCAGTGTTTTATTTTAGAGTTTATTCTAAGACACAGAAATGCTACTTTTAAATGTACCAGTAATCTGAGTCAGGGAATGCTGTGATCAAATATTTAAAAAGACAAATATGGCAGGAACACAATGCCTATCCTTTGGTTTCTCAGAAAGGAGAGGGAAGAAGAGAGTTCAACATCCTGACCAGTGTGGGAATTGTTTCTGAATTTGCTGACCCACTTGGGTTATAACATTCCCAACCACAGTATTCTGGAATATAAAACAGATTCTCCCACCACGGTTTCATAATGAATCACCTATGGGTACCATATAAACCAATATTTTTAAATGGCCAAATCCTTCCCATTTAAAGGAAAAAAAGTAGACATGATATACTGTTTGTTTATACTACAGTTATTTGAAAAAGGAAATAATTCACATTTAACTTACTACAGTGTTATTGAGTTAAAAACAGAAAATGAAGAGTTACTAAAAATTGCTGTTTAAACAAAAGGCCTATTAAGAGACTTTAATGACTTAGTTATAGTGTGAAGGAGTACTTCTGTTCCTCTAAGCAAATTAACTCTAAAATATACTTAAAAAATAGCTCAATAGTACTAAACGTTACTTTATAAAGTAGAAATTTATACTTATAAAAGAACTGAATGCCATTTTTAAACCTAAAAATTACCATACAAAACCCTCTTATTTGCTGAAAATTGCCATGATTCGAAGTGTCATTTACATAATGCTTCACAGATGTATGATGCCAAACTGTTAGTCAGATTTGAAAGTATAGTTAGTTAGAAGAAAAAAAAATCTTGCAAAACATGTTTGCCTATATTTTACTGACATTTACAAATGGGACACAATTTGAAATGTGTCATTTATTTGCACTTTATGATCTATAAATGAAGTTCTCATTTTCTTTTTCCAACTCAAATACATTGTTATTGTGACCACATAATGGCTTTTCATCTAAAGAACCCATTGTCTGTGTAATTTCTCAGACCAGGGTCATGAGCTACTTTGTCATATTTTGAACTGGATTTTTCATCATACTCTCTGTTTGACCTTTACCCTGAGAGTCTTAGTCATTATTGAACTGTTGCTGTAACAATTTCGCCACTATCTTTCAGGAGTCTTTTTGGGCTTTTAGAAAACTGCTGTGCAATGCTGGGGAACTACTGATTTTACCACTATACTATTTGGGTTCCCAGAACATGGACTAATGACATGGCTAGCATTGTACATGTGTCAAAGAGTAGGAGGCTTTGGACTATGGAGATGCTTCTTTGTGTTAATAGGCATGTGAGCATGAATACAAGAGAAAGTTTGGTAGTTATTAATTAATATTGGGCAATTTTAAAGGTCATGATTGTACTAGGAGAGTCCACTTGGGACAAGTATAATCAGTACTATTAGTGTAAATATGACTAAGGAACTGGACAATACATTGTAATGGAAATATTAGATTTTATTCTTCTAATAGCAATGTGAAAAAAATAACATGGTTCTCGGTGTATTACTAGTGTCTTACATACCTTTTCTGATTGCAAAACAGTAGAAAAGAGTAAAATATTTCACAGACTTCCCCTACAATGCAGTTTGTTTCTATAAGGATTATAACTATGTGTATATTAAGTCTACCGATTTCTAAGGAACAAAGACTATGCCATACGTTAGTACATCTGTAACACATAATCTTTAATGCATATAATTAACTGTAAGTTAAATGCTTACTTACAGAAACTTAATTGCCGACTTTCACAAAATTCTGCATACTGAGCTGAATCCATCATTCGAGTTTGTCTTTCTGCTCTCTAATGGAAAAAAATAAAGACACTTTTAAAGCAAGTAGCCTATTAAAAATGTTTTACTTGCTAAACTTAGAATGGAAGTACAGTTTTCTTTTTCTTACTCTAGGTGAAGAGTTTAGCACTACCCTAAATATCATCACCATAAATTCACAGTGGGTATGGAACTATTTCTTTTGAAAATAAAGTTTAAAATATAATTTTCTGGCTCTCTGTTTTTGTTACTTAAGTGAACAATAAAAACTAAAAGACTATGCTTTTTAGATTATATATTCTCTAAAGTTTCTTACCTGTACTATCCTTTTAAAGAAAAGGAAAATTATGACAGTATAATAAATAAAAAAAGACACATTGTTACTATTATTATCCAGCTCCTTAAAGCTGTGATTTTTTTCAAAGTCCAAACTGGGTCAATTAAGAGAATTCATGTATTTTCCTTCTATTACAACATGGTGCTAGAGTTAACAGATCCATATTTCAAATTGCCATAAAAATAAAGAAAAAGGTAAACACAACACACATCCTTTAATCTAAGTCCAGGTATGATTCACAGCTTGGTATAGTTGCACTCGTGGGTTTTTTGATTCAGTATAGCAGATGTTTGCTGTCTCATTGTCCCACAAGAGGTAGGATAATTATAATTCACCCATAGTTTGGTGGGAAAGAGTATGACCGCTTCCGCTTCCTTGGCAAGGGAGGCATTTTGAAATGAGACAGGCTGGTACTTCTTGGAATGAATTACTGGTCAGTAAAGGGGGGAAAAAATCCCTGAGATTTTACTTTTTTTCTGCTTTGGAAGGACTTTCAACAAGTTATCTTTATCACAGATGCTGGCATGCATAAGTAGTACTTTTCCCAACATCTGTGGAGTTTTTGGTATTCTTCTTAAACTGAGATTATTACTCTTTTTTTGTTTGATTTGCGTGAATGGGTCTATTTCATTCCAATGATTTTATCAGTTGGAATGAACAGTGGTGCATTAACTGTAGATCAATACAGAAAAAATAGATGGGATGATGGGAGTTGAAGTAAAAATTTACTAAATGCTGCGGTTCCTTCTGACACTACTATTTTCCCCCTTCTTCCGTCCCTCCTTTCATCTCTCCTCCTCCTTCCCTCCCACTATTCCTTCCTTCCTCCCTCCCACACAAACATCACAGGCACACACATGTGTGCAGGAACAAACAAACCCAGTCTCCCCTTGCTTATGCCTCTTAGCTTAAAATAGTTGTTTTCTAACATGTACAAGCAACTCTATGTGTGTGCATGTGATTTGGTGTATAAATATATGTATGGTTGCATAGACATATGCATCCTTTTACCTGTGTCTCAGAAATCCCACATTCCTTCAGTGCCTATGGTAATATAATGGAGTAAATGTTTACCTAATAGAAAGTATTTTTGAGTATGAATACAAGGCTTAGTTTTATCCCTCTTTTTCATATTGTCTGGCATATTATTTAGTAAGTATTTATGGATAGCAACTCAAAATGCCAAATCACCACTGTGGAGTTGGAGCTCACTCATGTCTGACCCTCCAATGGTTTGCAGAGGCTGTAAATTGTAAAGGCAGAGACTGCCCGTCTTTCTCCCTTGGAGCAGCTGGTGGATTCAAACTTCTCACTTTGGCTTGGCTCAAACCCTTAACCACTGACAACCAGAGTAATCTTTGGTTGACAGGAGCTAAGGCATAATTTATTGATGTGTTTTAAACATAATAAATCTATTACTAATAAAAACTAGCATAGGGAATCCTGGTGGCCAAGTGGTGAGAAGCTGCACTGCAATCCCAAAGGCACACAGTTCAAATCCACCAGCTGCTCCATGGGTGAAGGATGGGCAGTCTCCTCCCAAGCAATTCACTGTCTCTGAAAACTTGCTGGAGGGTAAACTATGGGTTAGTTCTGACTTGATGATATACAACAACAACACAACAATTAAGCCCTATCTATCACCTTCTAGTACATTCCAACTCATGGGGACTCCCTGTGGCAGAGCAGAATGGCCCCACTGGGTTTCCAAAGATGTAATCTTTATGGGAATTGACTGTTGTATCTTTCTCATATGGAGAAGCTTCTTTCATATGGAGAAGGTTCCACGCACTGACTTTTCAGTTCATAAGCAAGTGCTTAACTACTTAACCACCAGGACTCCTTAGTTCCTAATTGTTCTTGTGCACTGTGGAACCGACCCATAGTTGAACCTTTGGTGAGTTTTCAGAGACAGTTAATGGCACAGCAGGAGATTGCCCATCCTTCTCCTGCAGAGCAGGATTAGAACCATGTGCCTTCGGGATTACAGCGCTGCTTTCTACCCCTAGGCTACCAGAGCTCCCCAATTACTGTTGTTGTTGTTGTTATGTGCCATCTAGTTGTTTGTGACTCATAGCGACCCTATGTACAACAGCCCTAAACCCTGCTCTATCCTGTGCCAATCGCACTGCCTCTGAAACACCCATCCCGATTACCCCAGTCACCGAATCAATACACCTCATAGAGGGTCTTCCTCTCCTGCGCTGTCCCTCCACCCTCCCAAGCATGATGTCCCTCTCCAAGGACCTCTCCCTCCTTAAAACATGTCCAAAGTATGTCTGACAAAGTATGTCAGACAAAGCCTCAGAATCCTTATCTCCAAGGAGCAGCCTGGTTTAACCCTCTCCAATTACTAGTAAGTTTATTTTCAAAATCCCTAAGATTGAAGAGCTAGCATCCACATATATTCTTTCTCTCACTTAGATACATGCAAACATGCACATACACTGTCTGATAATACAGGAGAAGTCTCTTAGGTTTGAATTTTCAGCTTCTAGAAAAAGGTCTGGGGTATGGTATACACATAATGCAATAAACATTGGTTCAATGAACAAACACTATCATTTTACTCTGTGAGCAAGGCAAAAGCCTGCTGCCATAATTCAGCCAGACTCTGAATAATGATTGATTCTCACCCATATTCTCTCTACTCTCCAGAGAGGCAGCCTCATTCATGCCTTCTTCCCAACAAATGACGCAGAAAGGATTTAGATCATTATAGAAACCGAAGGAGAGTTCAATATAGGCAATAAAAACCTGGCTTGGATGTATATATGCTTACATAGTCAGTTTGTCTGTACCAAATGTTTCTTAGAAATGATAACTTACCCTGAGAGGTGAAGGTTATCTATCAGGTTTTCCAGCTTGAACTAAGTGATGTGTTAAGCTAGCTGGAATCTGATTCTGAACTGCAAAGCTGATTTGGGCCTATGTTTCAAAAATACTCATAAATTCTTGAAGGACGTTCACTTACTAGAGTTAGCTTTAGTCCTTTCAAATATTCTTTCTAGTGCTTATGCTTTTTACTTGATTAAGTGTCTTTGTTTATAATCTTTCAGCATGTAAACTATGGTCTGGGATCTGAGGAACACAACTGAGATAGTCCTTGAAGGATGGGCAGTTTCCTGCTAAGGTTTGCCGTCTTGGAAACCTGATGAAAGGCCATTATGAGTTGGAATTGCTTCACTGGTAGTGTATTTTGTGGTATACAGAGGAGGCCACTTACCTGGTACTCAGCATATACTCAGCACAAAGGAATTAATTCAATAGCAAAGATTTACACATAATATAAAATCATGGCTGGCGTAGCCCAAGGATAATTTTGTTCAATCCCTCTTATTTTAAGGATTTAAAAAAAAAAAAATGAGGTTTAGAGACAAGTGTTTAGCCAAAGTTGACCAAGCTAGAACTGAAGGTCAGGACTCTCAATTCCCAAGCCAGCCCATTTTCATTTCTAAAAAGCTGTCTGTCTCCAGTGAATAGTAATAACACTTTCTTTAAAGGTTCTCCTTTGGGATCTTCTCTCCTACAGTCTTACATAAAAAGTGCCTAGCAGTTGCTACAAATAAAAAGTAGCTGTTCTTAAGAAAAAGACATGAAGCTGTAAGACAGTTAAGGCAGGACATCCTGGGAATAATCGAGTGAATTTACAAACTCGATTGTTCCTGGTGGTACAGAAAACATGCCCAGCTGTGTAAAGACACTGATTTCATCTCCTCGATGCTGGGCAAGGCTGAGGCAGCAGATCATTCTAGCTGATAAACAGTTAAATGTTGCCCTGTCCATTTATCTTGGTATGCCATAAAAAATATTTATCATTTCCTATGTGTACCATGGTTGGGAAGCATTTGTTCTATTAATAAGGTCCTTGACTATTACACAAGACACTGCCTTACAGGCTATTCAATGCACGGTCAAGTGAGTTCAGCACTGAGTCAGAGTCTTACTAGGAATCACTTACTAGGACATGAAGATGACTCAGAAATGGTCAGTATGTAGATGTTTTTGTTTATTCCTCTCTTTTCCCCCACAAATTGTTTCAAAAAGAAAAAGAAAGAAGCACATTTTGGACTTACAAAAAAGGTCCGAATCACTCAGCATCTGATGATATCATCTCTTGTTCTTAAACTATTATCATAACTACTGGGGTAAAAGTCATGGGATATGTGTTCTTTAAAGATGGGAATTGTGTTTCATTCTAAAATCTCAGTGTCATCACAATGCTTACTTGGGCCTCAATACACAGTTGCCAGCCAGCTAATTTACTGGATGGATGAATGGATAAAGGCAAACTATAACTGGTAATAAAAATATATTAATTTCATAGATGGTGGGATGTTTTAAAGTCAATGATGGTTTTATGTGTCTTTAAGCTGGTCTTCTGCTCAAGGTGAACATGCACAATAGAAGAAAAGGCTGCTGGTCCTAGGCCATCTCCATGACCAATTGCTGATCGGACTGCTGTGATGCATAGGGTTTACAATGCCTGTGTTTTGGAAGGAAATTGTCAGGCTTTTAAAAAAACTGTTCAGCATCATAAAAACATGCAAGTGACTAGTGACAGTCAGGTGGAGACTGTGCATGAATCCAGATCCCCTGCATGGAAGGTGAGAACTATCATTGAACTATATCTATGGCTGCCTTTACTCTAAAGACCTAGCAAATATCAAGATATATGACCAAAGAGTAAATAAG